AAAGAAAAAAAGAAAAAGAAAAACTAGCTGGGTGTCATGGTGCTCGCTTGTGGTCACAGGTCCTTGGGAGGATGAGACAGGAGGATAGCTTGAGCCCAGGAGTTTGAGGCTGCAGTGAGGTACGATGATGCCACTGCATTCTACTGCCCAACAGAGCAAGACTCTGTCTCGGGAAAGGAAAAAAGAAAAGAATAAAGTGGATAAATGAGGTTGGCAGCTATATCCAGATTTTGTAAACTTGTATTATGGCTCAGATAAAAAGATAGGAATAAAAATTCTCATATGTCATTTCAAATTTTGGAGTATTGCCCCTTAAAGAATGGAGAAAGATGTTACCCTTGTATATTGTCTGCTTCCATTGGCTTTCTGGTCCTAAATTTCTTCTGTGGCGTGCTGGTTTGGCCGTCACAAATCTATACTATCAGGAAAGGAAGGAAGAACTTTGAAAGCCAATAGGATGATAGAAATGAGAGAATATTCAACTCACCTCTCAAAGCTTCCCAGCAAGTAGAGTGATGGTGCCCATCACTTATAGAAAGGACATCAGATAATAAGGTGCCTTTTTATATACTTTGTCCTTCTCTTAATGATATTATTTTAATCTTCCTTCACAAATGACACTGAGCATGCTTCTAACCTTGAAGATTAAGAGAGTTATGAATGCCCCTCTTGGTTGAGTAATTTTCAGGTGTAAAATGCACAGAAGAGTGAACACATATTTAGAAGTGTCTAGATGATTAGTTTTCTACCAGCAAGGTTTGTCCTAGGCAGAATTGTGAGCATGGTCCCCAGAGCCCCGGTTCCCCCTTTGCGCATCCTATCCCCCAGTCCCTAGCACCCCACCACCCACCAAGATCCCCTACATCTTTTGGAGGCTAGAGGCAGGCCAGGAAACTGCCCACTATCTTGAAATACTGCCATTGTGCCTGTCCCTGAGTCCTGCCAGGAAACCACCCATTTGGCTGCAGAAAGAAAGGACTATAATGAAATAGGTGCCAAGCCCGTTTTCTACTCCAGTGAATAAACATGAACTTGCTGTCGGATGCCTAACCACCAACAGAAACCCATAACTTAATGTGGGTCTACTATCACTTGAGTGTCCTTGGAGTTAGATGAGAAGAAAAAAAGCTGAACGGGAGAATTCATGTTCATTGATCACTGATTCAGACACTGTGAACATGAGAAAAAGTTCTTAGGATGGTAGAAATGTGAAAACACCACACTGTACCCCATGATTGCATTAATGTACACAGCTATCATTTAATAAACTAATAGTTAATAAAAAAAGAAAAAGAAGGAAAGTAGATGACCTTGTGAAGGAGAAAAACTCAGTGTGATAATCCCAAGGCTAAAGCTGGATTGAAACATCTTTCCTGGAATATTTGATAGTCAAGTCATAAATCTTGTCCTATGTATCCTGTACCTTTGTGTAAAGTGAATTGCAGTTCATCAGCCATTTATTGAAGAAATAAGGATGTTAGACTGTTGATTTCATTTGAAAAAAGATCAATTGAAACCTGTCTTTTTTTTTTTAAATCCAGGTATACTCTTTGTTTTTATTATAGATACATAACAAAGTAATTCGATGAAGATTGAAATAAATGCTTATGTTTTATTCATGCTAGAAATAGTGGTTTTATCTTTCAAGATGAAGCCTTGTAGTATCATTATAAATTCCTTAATATTAAAATAAATGTCACTTTGTTTCCTCTGAAAATTCTTTCATTGGGTGATAGGGTTGGGGTGGGAAATGAACCTAGTGATTAGAGAAATACAGTGGTTTTAGATCATCCCTGCCCAAGATAGTGGAATGTGTTGATTAACTCAATAGCTTCATGGATCTCTGATTTGGGGCATAAAATCTGTAATAAAATGACTTCCCGGACTATTGCTCTGTTTATTTGAATAGCAATTTTACCTAGCAGATTTGAATTCAAATGCATTATGAATCTTTTTCTTCTTTTTCATACAGGTGGAAAACAGACCAAAATATTATGGAAGAGAGTATGTATCATACAATTCTTTGTTTTAATAATTTAATAACTAGTCGTTTCATGTGTCATTAAAGTATTAAATATTAAAAATTCTGTAATATATAGTCATCATCACATGTCTATTGTCTAAGAGTTTAATAATAGGAATAAATGCAATCAAGACTCCTTACTAATGAATTTTCTTTACAACGTTCAAGTGCTGGGTTTCCATCAGTGGGGGGAGTGGCTCATGCTGTATCTCTCTCCACCAAAGCACCTACAGACTGCCTGGAAATTGTTTGGGATGAAAAGTAAGGCGAGATTTTTCATAAACGAGGCTCCCAGCACAATATAAACCCTTGGGTTGTCAAAAATCCTACAGTATGGCTGAATTCCTGACTCATGTACCTCTGCAAACATAGAGGTCAGGAAAGGCATCCCATTTCTCTGCGGTCTCCTAAAACCCGAATAGTGATTCCTCTTGACTTGTACATATTAACCAAATCACCTGAATGCCTTCAATTATTAGCTTCCCTTCCCTTTTTCTTCTTAGTTTTGAATCTTTTTTTTTTTTTTTTTTTACAAATCTACTGCAGGGGAAATATGTAGGACCATAAAAATAATTCACGATATAAGCCTGTGATGTGCAGAACATCTCACAGAGGGCAGGTGGAGCAGTCCCGAGGAAGAGGAGATGCATAAATCACTTTTCTTCCCACGTCCAACCTGAAGGTGTTGTGAGGCAAAGCCTCCTTTGAGTTTATATCCAAACTCTCCTGCCCAATCCAAAACCTTCTTCCTCTATTCCCTTTTCCATTGGAGCCTCATCTCCATGATTAATGAGCCTCTCTGTGGCCCCAGCCCAGTGTGCCTTCCCAATAGCCACAGCTGCATTTCAGAGCCTTCCATGTCCAGCCCTTGGGAATTCGGCCATCACCTCTAGGAGACCTGCCCAAGAGCGCTGGCCTCTGCTATTCCGCCCATCACATCTCTAACATCTAAACTATGTTGTAGTATGGCTTTCTTCCTCAATATACTGGTTTGGGTTATGCTCGTAGCTAGCACAATTAATTTAAAAAGTGAGAGAAAATGTAAACCTACCACATCCACTTTTGCACATGAATTCCAAACTGAACACTGCATATTGTGCATTTTCTTTTTGGCATAAAAATTGTATCCAATAACCTTTTAGGTCTCATTTTCCAATCCCAATTCATGTAAAATATGTATAATGAAAGGAGATATTGAAACATTTTCATAACCACAGAAAGGAACATTTTGTAGTAGAGGAAAATTAGCTTAAAACCTTCAGATTCTATTTCCCTTTTATATTTTTAAGATGAATTTTTTTTTCCTTTCGCTCAAAAAAAGTAATGTATGGTCTATTAAGGAAATGCGAATGCACATTTTCTTAAAAAGAATCTACAGAAACTGTTGGCATGGATACCTTTAGGGAGGGAGAACTTTTATTTCTACACTGCTGAAGTTTTTACTATTTTTTTGCCTTTCAAATTTGAGGTTTGAATTTTCCTACTGTGCACAAGTATTACTTTTGCTTTTAAAAAGTTAATGAATTAGGGGTGGCGTCTGTGGCTCAAAAGGGTAGAGCTCCAGTCCCATATGCTGGAGGTGGCGGGTTCAAACCCAGCCCCGGCCAAAAACTGGAAAAAAAAAAAAAAAGAAGTTAATGAATTAAACCTGTTAATTTCAGAAAAATAGAAACTATAAGAAAATAGGAGGTGAAAAACACCCACCGTCCTCCCTTGAAAGGAGATGGTTGCTAACTTCTCCCTCCATCTCTTTCTGGCTGTTCTCTGTGCCTGCTTTCTTTTTACAAGGTTGCGGTCAGATGGTACATACATGGATTAAGTATTACAGATCGCAAATATTTATACTTTTTAAAATCGTGCACAAAGGAAATGAAGAGCCACAGACTTGTGTCTTCGGCTGCACAAAATTGTCATTTTTTTCTGTTGAATGATTGAATTGAATGTAGTCCTTGCCGCCGCTGCTGTGGATCACTTAAACGTGCCAATTCAAGGGAGTTTAAACTTAAATTCTAGTGTTCTGAAGCATAGTAAGGCAACCACAGCACAGAACCATTCATTGAATATTTCAGAATAGCTAGAAAAGAGGCCCTTGAACGTTCCCAACACAAAGAAGCGATCAGTATTTGAGGTAGCGGATATCCCAGTTACCTTGAGTTGATCAGCATACATTGTACATATGTATTAAAATATCACACGTACCCCATAAATAAGTACAATTATTATGTATCAGTTAAAAAATAATTTTTAAGTATGCATAATCAAAATCAAGTATCAAAAAAACAAACAACGGAAAAAAACCCCAAAACTTTTGACGGTCTGCTTTAGAGACTCCTCCCCCTTTTTCCTGCCTCCCTCCCTGGGAGGGACCTGAGGCTGGTCCCTGTGCCCTCTTCTGAGTGTGCCTCACTCCGTTGCCCTGGCCTGGCCCATGGTTGGCATATGTCCTTGACGTCCCAGCCTCTCTCCTTCCTCCCATCTAAGTACAAACTGGGTCTGACCCTGCTTAGCTTTTGAGATCAGACAAAATTGGGCACGTTGAGGGCGATTTGGCCATAGACTTCTATCCTTTCTGACTCTGGTGGGGGAAGCTTTCCAGTGCCCAGTCCCTCCGACTCGCCCCTGCACGCTCCTCCCACCACACGCTCCCTCCCGCAGAGGTGTGCACCCGCCCTAACTGGCTTATGCCACAGGGGAGGCTTCTCTGCTGGGTTCATAGGGCCCGATGGCCTCAACCGCAATCAAAGCTCCAAATGCCTCTGCTTCAGGTTCTCAGTAAGCTGCCCAGTGACCCAGTCCACACCTGCCACGCACAACAATTAGACCCCCTGAGCTCCCGCTCTGTCAGCACTCCCCCCACCTGCATCTCCCTGTCTCTAAAACAGAGGCCCCTGGCCAGGTGTGGTGGCTCACTCCTGTAATCCCAGTACTCTGGGAGGCTGAGGCAGACGGATTCCTTGAGCTCAGGAGTTTGAGACCAGCCGGAGCAAGAGCAAGATCCCATTTCTATAAAAAACTAGCTGGATATGTGGCAGGTGCCTGTAGTCCCAGCTACTCGGGAGGTTGAGACAAGAGCATCACTTGAGCCCAAGAGTTTGAGGTTGCTGCGACTATGATGCCACAGCACTCTACTGAGGGTGGCAGAGTGAGAGTCAGTCTCAAAAAAATAAAATAAAATAAAATAAAATAAGGAATACTGGTCTTTTCTGGGGGACAGGAGGGCTACTCTTTGTCACAGCAGGAAAGCACTTCCTCACGGCCTGAAAGCGTCGTCTCTTGAGATTTAAACCCAAAATTTGGGAAGCCAGAAATCCTCTTTCTCCCAAGATGTCTCAGCCTTAGAGTTAAGTGTTGATTTTGAAACCCAAAGACATCACTACGTTGGACCTTACCTCCCAGGAGCAAAAGCTTTAGTTTTGATGGTCTACCTACTTGTTAAGGACAGAGGGAATTAGGAAATCAGTATTGTAATAGGCACATCGCTCCCCCCAAAAATGGTTTTCATTTTACATTTCTCCTCTAACTTAGTATTTGCATTTCTGGAAAAACAAAACAAAACTTGTCTGGCCGATACCTTTTCCCCTCTTCCCCTTCCAAGAAGGTAAAAGAGTTTGTTTGTTTGTTTTTCTGTCCGGGACATTTCTTTTCTTATTTATCTCCCCAAAGTTCTCCAAGCTTTTTATATTTATTCCCCAATGTTCTCCAAGCTTGGATAACTTAGAAAGAGGGACCGTTCCCTCCCTGACCTCTCTCAGGAGTGTGGAGTTGCAGGGTGCCGACTGCACCCCCAACCCAGTTTGCCCATCTTCCCTGGAAACACCCAACTAGAAAATCCCTAGCAGTGGAGAGAGCACTGTCTTGTCTGTCTTTCTTTCTTTCTTTCTTTCTTTCTTTCTTTCTTTCTTTCTTTCTTTCTTTCTTTATCACTGGGGATTCATTAAGGGTACACAGAACCAGGTTACACTGATAGCTTTTGTTAAATAAGGACCCTCTTATAATCGTGTCTCCCACCCCCCAAAGGTGTACCACACCCCTTGTCCCCCCCCCTTCCCTCTCAGCTTTCCCAATCCCCCACCCCCCACCATGTACTAGGACCTTAATTGTCCTCATATCAGAATTGAGAATCCTATGTTTTTTCTTAATGGCAACAGGGAGACCAGGCTGGTTCTGACCCAGCTCCCACCTGCTCTCTTCATTGTGGGAGTCTCTGTCCACTCTCTGGGCCCGAGACAACTGCCTCTAGGTCAAAGCTGTCATTAGCCACACCTGCAATCCTCCCAGACATGACCAGTTTTCTACATGATGTATAGTACTCTAAAATGTTATCTTTGAAAAAGAAAAACAGGAACATCCAAACATGTTCCTAAGCTATTGCTCCCAACATGTAAAGCTCTGCAGGAATGTTGATTATAGCTAGCTCTTCTTTGCAGAGAATGGGCCTCTAAAATTAACAATACTCTTCTCCTGCAGCAAGCAGGTTGCTAATCAATAACTGCTCATTTGCAATCATGATAATACATGGTTCTCTGTGTTTGAACCGAGAAGGAAATTGATAATTGCTCTATTGTTATTTCTTGTGTGTGTGGGGGGAGACATAACCTGACTTTTTATTTCTACCTTTATTTTCAGCCTGAGAGCAAAGACAGTAGCTCGCAGAAAGCCAGGTGGATGTTCTTCCTCATGAGTGCCTGTGTGAATGCTGATTATCTGTTTGGGGTGTGCTGAGAGGTGGTTCTAAGTCCATCAACAGTGCAATGGTTACTCTCCTCTTCACCCAGCGTGGGGACTGCAGATTCTGGTGGCGCTGCCATCCTTTTCAGCCTAGTTCTTTGTTATCCATACTTTCTATGTGGTCTGATCAGAGTAACAATGGTCTTACACCCCTCAGGTTCCATGGGATAATCTCTCGGGAGCAGGCTGATGAGCTCCTCGGAGGCGTGGAGGGCGCCTATATCCTCAGAGAAAGCCAGCGGCAGCCAGGGTGCTACACTCTGGCCCTCAGGTGAGCGGCACCCCATACACTGCTCCATTGCTGTCTAAGCAACACCACTGATGTCCCCCTTTTTTTGTAAAGTTGTGGTAGAATAGTTGTAACCTAAAATTTACCATTTATAATGTTGAAGCATACAAGTCAGTGGCATTAAGTACATTCTTGGTGTTGTACAACCATCTTCATCATCCAGAACTTTTCGTCATATCAAACAGAAACTCATCATCATGATCACGTTCTCTCTACTACTAGTATTTTCACTTTGTTTCCAAAGCACCAGCAGTATAGCAGAGGATGTATGTATTTCCTCAGCCATAGATGTTATCAGTAGGTGTGGACCCTGGGGACCTGTCGGTGGACATAGGAGATTGGAGAATTAGCTGGGAAGGTAGCCCTCCTTCCACTGCTGCCTGCACCGTCCAGCTAGTGAAGGGAGGGGCTCGTCTGCCCTAGTTCCCAGCAGCCCTTGTTGAAGGGCTCCTTCACCTGACCTTGCATGTGCATGCCTGGTAAGACATGCAGTTTGCATCACCTTGATCCCAGGAACCCATCACAATGGTCAGTAAAACAAGGCTCTTCAGAGTGTTTGCTGCAGAATCCTAAGTTTCAGAAATCACAACACCAGAAAGGCAGTGCGTATACTGCATTTTGTGAACCTTTGTCAAGTATTTTATGCCATTGGATCCTCACTAGAGTCTTGTAAGGTTTGGAGAAGGTCTTCAATTTCAGAATCAGATTGTCTTCCAAAAGTTCACTTGTGCTGTCTTTGAAATTGGGAAGACCTTTCTCCATATATGGATGATGTCAATGGAAGCACCTCTAGGCTAGGCCACAAAGGTGCCTCAGTGCACTATCTCAATATTGCAGCTGTGCAAAGACACTTTCCAAGTTGTAATATGTCCAGAACATATGGTAAATGATGTACAAGGCATGACAATTAAGTTCATGAACTTGCCACCATCCACTTACATTGGCTGCACTGTACAAACAACTCAGTAAGGTTTTCTAACCTTGGTATATCAGTGTCTCACAGATGTATTTGTGTCAATATGTGGCAGTGTCTTGCTGAGTGTTGTTCATTATTGTTGTTGTGTGTTTTTGTGTACCATCTCAAGAATGTCAGAGCTAGAATGAGAGCAACAAACAAATATTTCATAAATTTCTCATTAAACTTGGCAAGAACGGAAGTGAAATTGGGGACATGTTAAAACAGGGATAATGATTGCATCCATCTCAAGGGGTCTCTATGATAATAAAATGGGGAGGAGGGGAAATTACACCAAGTGGTAAGCCCTGTGCCTGGCATACAGTAAGTGCTCAAAAAAATATTAGCTGTTACTGTTATTATTCCTCACTTTTCTTATTCCTAACTCTCTTGTAATACCTCATTCTCTCATGGACAGGTTTGGAAACCAGACCTTAAACTATAGACTCTTCCATGATGGAAAACATTTTGTGGGAGAGAAGAGGTTTGAGTCGATTCATGACCTGGTGACAGATGGCTTGATAACGCTATACATAGAAACAAAAGCTGCCGAATACATCTCAAAAATGACAACCAACCCCATCTATGAACACATCGGATATGCCACTCTGCTCAGAGAAAAAGTATCCAGGAGACTGAGCAGGTCTAAGAACGAATCAAGAAAAGCGAACGTGACAAATGAAGAGCACACGCCAGTGGAGAAGGTGAGCCGTGTGTGGGCGGAGCTGACTGTATGTGGGTGGAGCTGGCTGTGTGTGGGCGGAGCTGACTGTGTATGGGTGGAGCTGGCTGCATGTGGGTGGAGCTGGCCATGTGTGGGCGGAGTTGGCTGCATGTGGGTGGAGCTGGCTGCATGTGGGCAGAGCTGGCCATGCGTGGATGGACCTAGCTCTCCTAGTCTCTTCCACACTGAAAAATCAGGCAGTTAATTATACGTGTGATTTGCCAAAATTGGAGAGAAGACCCCACCTACCCAAAGGACTGGAATTTTATGTCAAAAGAGACCTTAGAGATCTTTCAGTTCAACCTCATTTTACAGATGAGGAAACAGAGGCCCAGAAATGTTAAACAATTTGTTCAAACTGATGCATAGATAGATCTTCTGTAAATAATCTATTATGAGTTTATTTGGAGTTCGAAAGAAAAACAACACTCCCTTAAATTTTTTTGATGAAACATTGTAATGAAATGTTTTTAATTGCCATCTGAGGTGTCCCTGGCCCCCTCTCTAGTTCCACCCATGTAGCCAAATACACAGTATTTGTATTTACATCTGTTAGGACAGGGTGACCATCCATGGTACATGGGTCAGCCATTTCTCGAAGGTGATCTGACCTAAATAACAGGTTTCACTGACAGATATGGGGGCATTAGGGGTGCTTACGGCGGCATCTGGGAAGTGTGGAGAGACAAGCTGTCCTCTGCCCCAGATGAAGTCATGATGCCTCACTGAGAATCAGGAAACTCCTAAGTGGGTGAGAGTGCAAGCTGGGGGAGTGTGGGCTGTGGCAGGAGGAGCCAAGGAGATGTGATTTTCCTCTCCAGTGAGTTGCTGTTTATTTGAAAGGCACCACCACAGTTTGCTAGCAGATTTTTGGGATTTGCCCCTTAAGGGACCATCTGCTTTGCCTGGTCCTATCTGTTTTCCAACGAAAGAAAATGACAGCCAGCCACTCTAGTCAGCCCTCACTCTGTGTGCTGTGCCCGGCTTCCTAGGCAAGCTGGGAACGACAGATACCAATAAGTAGCCGGCTCGGAGACACTGCTCCTTCTGGAGGTTGCTAATCTTTAATTAAACTGGAGTAGCCTCCCCCTCCCGCCACCATTGTCCAGTATTAGTGGATAGCAAAGGAACTTGAGGTTGACTGATTCAGCATTGGCATTGGTGAAGGGGATTCAGCAGAAAGCCCTGAAATGGGGAGGAGGGTGGAGGGTGGCATCCTGGTCCTCTTGGCAGAGAGAGGGATAATCTTAATTGATTTGCTAATTGAGCTTCAGAGCCTAAGAGAACCTTCCCGGGAAGCACATCAGTTGAGCAGCTGGCCCATGAAAAAATAATTTGCCATTTTTGTTTTATAACTCCAGTGTCTCCAAAGCACCTGTTTATTCTTTTACAAATAATTGATTTGGGAAATTGTGGGGTTTCTGATCATTTTCATTTTGACCAAAAGGAAGGGGGACGTGAGTCCCAACTTTCAGAGTTTTTTCCAGTCCAGACGAAAGCCAGTCTGTTTGCAAAATCTGTTCAAAAGTAATTTAGAATAGAAAATCCGAAAGCTGACCTTCCCAGCCATGACAAATCAGAAGATGAATTGTAAAATAAATCTCTGAAGCAGTGTTTATATTTCTGAATCAAAGAGCAAAGCCACCAAAAAGGCAATCTGTTACAAACCGCAGGCTTCACAATAGAGCATTTCAAGGAAGAGAGGTGAAGAGAAGAGAGTCCTTCTGTGTCAGGGGGAGAGTTTAGATTCTGGGTATTGGAATTGATATTTCTACATCCACGTCCTACGCCAAGAGGGGAGTTTGGTCTATGAAACTGATCTTCCACATCAGGAAACTTGAGCAACAAAATACGACCTTGCCTGTAGATATTTTGTATTTATTTATTAAAAATACATTTTGGAAGAAATTAGTAATCCAATTACTACTCACTTCAAATGAACCACCCAATATACTTTTACCATTTTGGGAAAAGGTAAATAAGGAAAATATTGAAGGAAAAGTCCAAACTCAATGAGCAGTTTGATGGACAGGTGTTGCTGGTCTAGATTTTTCTTGGGCACTAATGATGTGATGTTTGGTTTTCCTAAGGGACTCTCTGGCCACCGGTCTGGTCACTTGCTGGGGGCTACTCATTTTGTTGGTAGGTTTGTTAAGTTACTTGGTACGAATCCATCTGTTTCTCTCTGACCTGTATTGACAAGTGAAATTATTAAAAGTCTCAGTCTTGCCGGAGATTCTATTTCCCTGAAGGGCAGGTCAGTGGACTGTTGCCATGGAGGCAGTGACTAGAAAAGAGGCTGCAGAAACTTGAATGGCTTGACTGAGAAGAGCCCAGGGTACCTGTCGGCTTCAGTGACGGTGCGTCTTGAAGGTTTTAATGAGTGAGAAGAGGAGGTGTCCTACCATGTCTCAAATCCAGGCATCCCAGCATTTCAGTTTGCAGAGTAGTCACGTTTTGTTTGCCTTTGTTTGTTTTACTGACAATTTCCAAATGAATCCAGAGAGACTGTGTTGCCTGTGAATCTGAGAACATTAATGGTGTTAATTGGCAAAGAGATCGGAGTGATTTCTGGATTTATCACCTCTCAAGGTTTTTAGCAATGAACTTGATTTTAATAACAATAGATGAGGTGGGGAGATGGGAGGGTATAAAAAAATAGTTGTGGTGGCGGTTAACCATTTGTTTCCTTACTGATCCTTTATCCAATTGGATTTTAAAACATTACGATATATAAGGGACACTATTGGGTGCATTTAATCAAAATAGTTATGTCCAGCATAGTTTCTTTTATGATGTATATTTCGGATTTATTCCATAGATTGATTACCTCCTGACCTTCAAAACTGGTATGGCAAGCCATATAGGAATACCAATAGGATTTAATATTAGACACAGTTTATAAACAATTTCACGATTTCCCATGGTATCCTCAGAACAATTTCTCCAGGTCCATAGGGCTGGGATCATCCTCCCCCACTTTATTGAAAAGTTCACAGTAGCAAGATGTGAAATGAACCCAGGCTTCCTAATTCTAAGTTCCGACCTTCTTAAATCTACTAAGCAGCTGGGCCTTATTCTATACTTATGCATGTAGTGCTTTAAATAAGTACCTTTGGTTTTGGCTATCCTAAGTCAAGTGACACTAAAAATCACTTCATAGTTACACGATCTGTTCTGGAAAATATACTGCTATTGCTAGCTATAATAACTAGTATTTTTTTAAATCAAATATATGTGACCACCAGACTTTCAACAGGACGTTTATATTGAATAAATCTGGTTTGCCATATTAAGTTGCATCTATGTTTTAGTAGGAAAAAATAATCCGTACCTTTGATAAAATGAGAGCAGCGTACTGAAGAATATATTCTATCTTACCAGCTAATTCTTTCCACTTTTTGTTATAGTGGCAAAAATTAGACAACATCCTAAATGCCCATCAATTTGGGACAGCTTAAATCAATTATGGCACATCCATGTCAAGGAACAGGCAATCCAAGGAAAAGAATGAGAATTGTAATATGGGCAGATATAGAAAAATCACCTGGAATCATTAGATGAACAACAACAGCAATTTGCCATATAGTGTACTGGCAGTCCCCAGGTTACAAACAAGATAGGTTCTGTAGGCATGTTCTTAAGTATAGTCTGTATGTAAGTGGGAATGGATACATTTACTATGACCTATAACAGCTTCTGTTTATAGTATGTTAGTTGGATGGTTGTAACTCAGGGACTGTGTATAGTATGGTACTGTTGATGGAGACTGGAAGGAAACTAAAGATTTTGCGTATGCTTTTTTTCTTACAAAGCCGCGAAGCAGACAGAGCTGGTTGCCTGTGCGTTAGGGAAGTCGGTATCCGAGGGGCAAGTTGGAGGAGAGGTTTCCCTGCTACCATTTCATACTCTTTGTATTTTGAACCATGATAAATGCAATACCTTATTCAAATATTTAAATAAGAAAAAAGTAATTCATCGTGTCTCGAATTCACCTATGTTAAGGCAAACCCTGGATAAATAAAGCTTTGCTGAGTCAGTGTTTATCAGGCACACAGCAGCAGCAGTTCCCACACTCCGGACCAAGGCACCTTCTCCCTCTCTCTCTGGCCCTGCCCCCATACTGTAGGATCCTTTTACTCCCCACCCCCACAGCCTGGGATGATTAACAACAATGAGGTGTGTTCAGCAGACTTTCCCTAAAGGTGGGGCTGGAAGAGGGTGACTGAAGCACAGGGCAGGTACAGGGCAGAACTCACCAAATAGAATGTGGCCAGTCCGTCTCTGGAAATGGATTGGACCCCACCCAACAATGCCCCCATCCCCCCACAGACTCCTCAGGGGTGCAGGGTCCTCCCCAGCCCTGCACCCATTTCCCACACCCCCCACCACACACACACCTCCTTTCCCGACTGCTGCGGACCAACTCCTAGACCCCTCTTGCTTTCTTTTTTTTTTTTTTTTTTTTTTTTTTTATTTTAAAGTAATACTTGTCCAATTTGAAATACAGCAGCGGTTCTCAACCTGTGGGTAGCGACCCCCCTTTTTTTTTTTTTT